CAAGGCGCAGAGTGCCCCGATCGGCGGCGGTTACGATAACCTGCGTCGACGGGGCTTATCAGGATACCCTGATAAAGGCCTGGAGGGAGATCGACCTTCCAAAGTTGGGAATAGACTCCCTCCGGGTTCGCGAGGGAGCCATGGTTGTAGAGCTACGGGAGCCATGGTTGTAGAGCTCTCGGGGTCGGGCGAGAAAAACGGACCAACGGCGACACAGAGGGCCGATGCCCTCTACGCCGACCTCCGCCGGGTGTTTGCCGGTGAGGAGGGGGTCCGTCTCGCCCGCCCCATCAGAAAGGCGGAGCTGCGGCTCCGCGGCCTCGACCGATCCCTGGCGGCTGCCGATATTGCGGCGGACGTATCCAGGGAGGGGGGCTGCGTGGTGGCGAACGTGCGGGTTGGAGACATTAAGTTCCCAACCCGCGGCCTGGGCACTGTATGGGTACAGTGCCCATTGAGGGCCGCTAATAGAATAGCGGCAGCCCGGGCCATCCAAGGACCAAGTAGGATGGTCCCGGGCACAAGCGGAGCTGCTGGACAAGCGCCCGCTCCAATGCTATAGATGCTTGGAGAAGGGGCATGTCCAGCAGCACTGCAGCAGCCCCATCGATCGCAGGGGCTGCTGCTACAGATGCGGCGGACCGGGGCACCTGGCGCGTAACTGCACCGAAAAGGTGAGGTGCCTGGTCTGCGCGGGGTTAGGTAGTCCGGCCGACCATAGGGTAGTCCAAGTGCACCCCCCCCCTAAAAGGCGGCCGGACAAACGACTGGAGGTTCTCCCGGCGGTGAGTACCGCGAAAACAACTCGGCCAGTTAAGCTGGCCGAGATTACCGCGGCATCCTCCAACACCCGCAAGCGCGGGGCGGGGGATAGTGGGACCTCGACGGAGGCCCCTAAAGAAAAAAGGCCCCCGAGGACCCGGTCTGCAGCCGCCACATCTCCCGCTTCTTTAGCGGAGGTGATGATGGCGGATCCCGAGGGTAAATAAATAAATGCCCCTGGGCATACTGCAGGCCAATCTGAACCACGCTTGCCGTGCGCAGGACCTCTTCCTGCACGGCCTGGCTGAGCGTGGTTTCGGATTGGGGGTCGCGGCGGAGCCATACCAAGTTCCGGAAGCCAGTCCATGTTGGACTGGCGACCGGACAGGCTCCGTCGCGATCACGTGGAGGAATGACCCCACACTCCCGCCTTGTACACCGGTCGAGGCCGGGGCGGGAGTGGCGGTGGTCAGATGGGGGCCCATCTCAGTGCTGGGGTGTTATATCTCCCCGAACGTGGGCCTCGCCCAGTACGAGGCGTTTTTGGACGGGGTGTCGGCCTGTTTTCGCCGACAGATGCCCCGTCCAATCATCGTGGCCGGGGACTTCAACGCAAAATCGACGCGTTGGGGTTCCCGGTTCACGGACGCCAGGGGCGAGGCCCTGCAGGATTGGGCGGCGGCACTCGGCCTGTGTCTTATAAACACGGGGTCAAGGAGCACCCTAGTGTGGTGGCAGGGGGAGTCGGTCCCGGATTTGACGTGGGCCACCCCCTCCGCCACACGAATGATTATTAGTTGGCGGGTAGCGGAGTGTGAAACGCTCTCTGACCACCTCTATATAGAGGTGGTCCTTAACGCTGCCCGCCACGGGGTGCTCGGCCGCTCCCAAGACCGGGGAGATGCCCGGCCAA